GCCACACGTTTGCATTCAGATATTTATAATACTTGTATATTGATTAATATGAAAACAACGGGGGGATGAAACTGCATATCAATATTGTTCGGAAAGTCGGCAAATAGTAAAGCATCGTTAGCTTCTAAATGTTAATTAATTCCAAACGGCAATTATCCGATAATAGCCGTTGGATATTTGCGATCCATTCACATTGCGAATGATATCATAATTTGCATCCGAAAATGGGATTCATCCACAGAGAGTGATATTTACAAATTTAACTTGTATAAACTGATAAAAAAAAATATATATATATATATTAGGTATCATAAATGCTTCAAGATTTATTGGATACATTTTTAGATGAAATTTCGAAAAGAACATATTTTTTATATAACAACATTATTTGTGGTATATAATTAAGATACTTTTAGCTGATAGAGTTAAAAGCAACAAATAATAATGTGCTACAATATATTTTTGATCATTTTAGTTCTTATTTTACATTGTTTCATGGCTATTGGCATGCAAAAAATATTGAATGTTGCGTTTGAAAAATCGTTATAGCAAAATAATCCTTCGTGTAAACCATTTTGAAATTGTTATAACAAAATAACCGTTTATATATATCAATATTTTTATATTGGTTCTGGGAAATGCAGTTTTATATGTTTTATTCTTGCATTATTAACAAAACTAATATTAATGTTTTCACTTCAACATTAAAATATATAAAAAGATCCAGATGATTGATTTAAATATAAACGTGGAAGAATTTCCTAGAACCTCACAATATTAAAACAGAGACTGTTGCTTCTATTTTTGTATCTCGCGGCAAATTGCTGACCACGCATAGGATTAGGAGGAAAAATCTTTAAGAATTGAAAAAGTTACGAATCTAATTGCCAAAGGTATTGAGAGGGGTAACAGGATGCAAAAGCGCCGCGGGACATATTGAGCCACTTAAAAAACGATATTTTCGATGTGTGTGCTTTATCGGGCGCGAACGTGGCGCAGACCGGATAGTCACGTGCTGTGCGTGCCTCGCCGTGGATTTCCCAGATTTGCGATCCCCGAATCTCGCTGGCCGTCCTATCTCCGACGAAAACCCGGGCACCGCGGCGCACCCTCGATCGGCCCAAGGCAAAAATAATAGACTCGTCGCACGTTTTCATTCCCTCGGCGTGACGGGCGGCCACTATTGACTGCACCCTCATCCTACGGAAAAGCTCTACAGGGATAGGCGTAATCACGAAAATTCTACGCGAGCCACTCTAAACATCTTTTGGATGCAAGATGATGACGGCGAGATGAAGATCGGTGACTCCTCCACCACTTATTAATGTATCTAAAAATTTAGCTAAATAGATACAGATCTGAAAATATTTTTATTGAACTATCGAAATAATTACATAAGAACCTTATGCTACAAAAAGTTTTGAGTATTCTAGCAACTAGTTTAAGCGTCCTATATAATTATTTTGATGATCCAACAAAATTATTTTTAAATGTATTTAAAGACATTACGATAATCTGTCGTCAAATTGTCAAATGAACTTTATTGATTTCTTGATTATGACTTAGTAGAAAAATAAGACTCTTCTTCTGGATCGTTCTTTTCTAATTAAAAAGTTATTAAATCCGATAAATTATCTTTATCTTGATATTGATATTCTTTTGATTAAAGACATGTCAATCATAAAATACTTATACGGATATCTATGAGGATGTGCTATTAGTAATGTAACATACAGATTTTTTTTACGCGGAATGATGAAGTTTTCAATTGTAATTTGTTTCTATGTATATTCTGGACTTTGTCATTAAATATTTAAATGAGACAGTTCAAACTCCATCTTTATCTTACAGATAAAATTAAAGAAAATGACTAATTTTTTATAATATCCTGTATGGTTCTATTTGTTGATGAACTCAAAAAAGTAACTCGAAATAATATAGAAACATATTTTATTTTCTTCCTTCTATGATTTATTTTCAACATTCTTAAAACAGTGAAAATGAAACGTTAAATAGAATACGCAACATTCCGTAACGTTCTCGTCTGAGAAGCGAATCCGGAAAGATTTTTGATATTTTCCGAGCGGGAAGGACGTTTCTGCAGCGCGCGCGTAAAAGCACGTATGTGGCGAATCGATTGTGCAAACAAGAGCGCCCCCGTCTCTATCGTCCTCTCGTTAAATTTCTGTTTCACCGTTTCAATGCAAACGTTGCGAGATATAAAAGTTGCAAGCAGGCCATCAGGCCAATCCGAGAAGTTTTGCTCTGTTTGCTTGGAGCATCTAACTTATTAATAGCGTATAATCGCAAATAGATCTCTATTTATATTATATATGTACAATATTTTCGCTTATCGATACAAGGCAATCTTTCATGTCAAAACTCGTTATAAATAATTTTTCTTCCATTAAGATTTAAGTGAGCATTTTTTTTACAATCGTAGAAAACATATTGATCTTCAGCTATCTCCGTAAAACATGGAATGTGAAAATATTACAGTAACTAAATTTTATGTTAAAATTCCGCTAAAGTAGAATACGCGTTTGTGAGCTTAACTTAAATATTTAAACTAAAATTCAAAATATTTCTCTTTGTTTCTGTACTTATATGAATATGTCTTACATTACTTACATTTAAATATGTACCTTTGAAATCGTACAATTAAGGTAACTGAAACGAAAATACAATCTAACATTTTTTTTTATCTTCAAATAATATCTAAAAATAATTTTTCTTTAAAAAACATGACAGTTTTCGATATCTTTATTCTAATAGAGACATACTTTATTATCTCGCATTAAATATATTCATATAACTCTAGCTAGCTAGTTCTAACTAAGAAAGTTCTTGCGAGCCGAGAATTCAATTATAACCACATTTAGCATTAAAGTGCATGTAGAAGTGGACACGGGCTTTGGTCATTTTTAACGAGCCGTGCCGCGCAGAGCATTGGTCGAAGTCGATCGATGAGATAGCATTGGAAGACAGGCAGGTGGTGGATGAGTCGCCGCCGATCAAACGCCTCGAATTGGCAGCGATTTCTCGACCAGCGGCTGCAGTCAACCCTCTCTGTTAGCTAGCCGCCACTTCCGTCGAGTCAATTTTAATAATTCCACCCCCCACAAGCCACCTTCGTACTGCGATGACTCGCACGATTTTTCCTGCAGCTTTCAATTATCCGAGGACCCGCACTCCCACGAACGAGCGAGTAAATGCTGTCTCGCGGAATATCGATCGTTTGGCGTTCTCTCTCTCTCTCTCCTCTCTTCTCTTCTCTCTCTCTCTCTTTCCTTCGGGACGATCATCGCGTTAGACACCGGAAGTGGGCGGAACGAGAAATTACGAGTTATAGTAATGAGAAGGTGCGTTATTGTCGCCCGCAATTATGACTGTTATATACGTCGTGGATTTTCTGAAAAAATATTCGAGCCGTCCGTTGGCTAATTGGATGACTTCTCTAAATTATACACGAAAGTCTTCCTTCAGCAAAGAATTTATTTTTAACAATAATGTCGAGATATTTCAATTACAATTCTCGACACATTAACGATTGAAAATAAAGTTTTTGGGACATTTCCTTAATTGTCACATTATTTAATTAGTTTCAAGTATATATATTCTTTTGGCAGGATTTTTGTTTATATACATGCATAAACTCCACTTCAATATTTTTTTATTTTTTTAACAAAGCACTACATTATTCTGCGATACAAATAGTTGTATGTGTGTGAATCCCTTAGAAAATTAATACACACTAAAAATTACTTCGGCACAAATGGTGTGCAGTAAAACCGGATGTATACGAAGAACGCCAGGTACTCGCTAATATACCCTTTTTGGTTGCGGAAAACCAGCGTTCTCAATCGGTCGGCTGAAAGAAAGGGAAGACCGTGAAAAGAGTGCTGTTGTAAAGTAATAATCGATTTATGACGGCGCGGCGATGCTTTTTTGCTGAGTCTCTTCTCTAAAATTTGAAGGGTCCTAGATTATTCCAAAAAAAGATACAACAAAATCGTGCGTGTGCAATTAAATATCTGTGACGTAATGCAATGATATAATAAAAGCATAAGCACTCAAACATGTATGTCTAAAAGATGTCGTGAAAATTCATTCAGAATGTCATAAAGATATCTTTGAAGGTATACGTATCTAAAAAACTATCTAAAAAACATCATAAAGACATCTTCTAGACACGAAGCACGACATTGTGTGTGTTGTCTAGGCGTTGCATTCTTAAGATGCAGCAAAAATTTCAAGAACCGTTACAAAATTTATTTCTCAAAACCGAATATTTTCTTCATTTTATTCATACATATTCTGTTTTACAGCATTTATAAATCAAATTTATTAAGAATACAATAGATTTATAATGCGTTATTTAAATTCCAAATACGTCACTAAAATAAAAAGGGTATGTCGTAATTTATGACATTATATAAGTTTCTCTTGAGACCAAAGGGAAACAACAAAAATATTAAAAGAAAAGTAAAAATAGGAAAGTCAGCGGGATAATCAATATGCAAAATTTTTTTTAAATTAACGTTTTTATAATTAATAACATTTTTAAAAAATAACATTTTCATAATTAATCATATTATTCGGAAAATATACAATATTTAAAAGCGTTCGCGTAGCCAACATATCGACTTATTTAAAGTCATTCTCAACGGAAAGAAGATAATATTGTGGTAACATATTTATGCGCAAAAACACTAAAAAATTTTATTAATATTGTTGTTGCTTTCCCTTAAATGAACGAATTCTTTAATTTGAATTCAGCGATAATTTCATCTTTATTATGCTTTTAAAATCTGACAAAATTAAAAAGTTTTTATATTAAAAGTTCAAATTTAGAAAGGAAATAGGTTATGCATATGTGAGAAAAAATTAGGGAAAGGAATTACAACGCGTTTCACACTATTTATTTTTGCCCGTTTATTCTTAGACCGGATCTAAGTGACATCGACGCCATCGATATATTGGACCTTTTATTGTTTCAGTTCGATCTTCGTGGGAGGCTGCGCAGCGCGTAAAGATAAACATCCATACGCAAGAATAACATCTTCTAGATCCCTCTAATCACAACACTCAGAGGATACTCCGTACATAAACGAGGAACATGGGTAAGAAAACACTTTTGATAGAGCCATCGGAAAAATGAGAGAGCGGCCTGGCAATTCATCAAGGAAGATCATTATTCGTGATAACAGAGAAAACTGGATCGCACATATAACAAGGGTATGAATTGTTATCGATGAACAATTCACAACTTAAAAAAAGAAATGAAAAAAAATACGCGAATTATTAAAAAATTAAATCAAATTTTTTTTTATGCTGGTCTAATTAGAACGAATTAGGCACAGTTGTTAGTGAAATTTTATAATTATTATAGTATAACAATTAAATATTGTTAATAAGGAAGCATAACAGAAACTGTTCTAACAAAATTAACAATATTTCGAAAATATAATTTTATGGAAAAAAGTTCCAAATGTAATATTTTTTAATTAGCGCTAATAAAATCATTTTATTTTATCAATGTTATATTTAATAATTATAAGATTCTCATAAATAAACTAATTTTTTTTCATTTTGAATAAATATGTAATTTTTATTCAGATTATTTTGATACATTCCACGCTGTTCTACAACGTTTCGCAATATAATTGAAAATAGAACAACTTGAGCTACGCTCGATTTTAATGGCACTTCGAGTTCGCTAAAGAAGATAATGTTACATCGTATACGCGTTACATAGTATTGTTTTAGATATATTGATAATTATTAATGTTATTCAAGAAATGCTTTTTCCTCTTTTTCACGAGCTTTTTTTATGCGAATAAATAGATAATACGATAGAGACTTAAAATTTTACTAAAAGTTATCAATAAATTTATCCTGTAAACGGTAATTTACGATGAATTGAAAAGAATTGAAAGGAATGTATGCTGCAAATTATCAAATTCTTTAATATCATGGATTAACTTCAAAGTTTTGGAAATTTATTTAATCTCTTCTTTTTTTTTTCTTAATATTGATTAATTTATTTATTAAAATTAAAGTAGATCAATATTTTTGTCTCACATTAAGGAAGCATTAGATTTTATTATTATATTTATAATAAAAGGAAAAATTAAAAAATTAAAATATTTAATATATTTCAATGTTATCCTCGATTACTTTTAGATTATCTTCTTTTCAAAGATAAAGAATACAATTTGATGGCATAAATTCCTGTATCAATTTTTTCTTAATCCAACTATTTTTAAAAGAACGCAGACTATCTCAACAAAATGTACCCACGGCGAGATATATAAAATAGATATTACATTTTACATGGAGGCACATGTGAGACTTGCGATATGATCTGATATTTACCGAACAAGTTTGTATAGATTTACTTTATCGCAGCAATAACTTATTATCTCGAGTTCGGAACAAATTTTGTACAAATAACTCGTATTGATCTATGTGAAATAAAATGGAACAACAAGTGCTCATTAAGGAGCTCATTATGGATAGTAACGGTATATATCAATACAGTCCAAACCTCTGTTATGACGTACCTACCTATATCGATTAGCTCATGCGAAGAAGTATTGCGAAATTTATTTGATTGACTTCTACAAAAAGTTATACAAAATATGACACGATATCTGCTTACGATATGCGTATAGAGTGTTATCACTCGTAAAACTATGTCTACGTATTTATTGCCAGTTGGGAGATATATATCGGTAGGAATATCTGCTGTAAAAACCGCAGAATATCCATAAAAATATCTATGTGTAAACAGTACCGGCGAAGACATGATGTATGTGGATAAATAAACTTGCATGTACAAACTGTGATAGTCTAAGTGTGATTCAAAGGCAGAAAATTGCAAAACAGAATCTTCTAAATCAGAGTGAAAATTGGGAACTCTTAATATCTTAGCAGCCAAGATTTTAATTCATGCATTTCTATAGCATATCACGTAATTGTATTTTTTTTTAAGATAACAAATTTTTTTTGGTAAAATTGTATGATAATGAGATAACTATGCCAATTAATTCATTAATTCATTTAACGTAACGTAGTATTTTATCTCTCGCGCGAGACAGTTAATGATAATAAAAAAAATTTGTAAGTACCTTTAAAAATTTTCTTAAAATATACGCGGAATTTACTTATAATTTATAATAAATATACAAAGGAGACTAAGAAGAAATTAATATATAGCTGCTATAAAATACAAAGTAGGTCTATACGTAAAGATATACGTAGGAATATACGTATCAACGGAATATTTTAATTTACGTGCTTAACTCAAAAATTAAATATCGAGCTATTTTTTCAAGGAAGTGATCAGAATGATATATTAATACATAAAAGAATGGATAGACGTGAAAGATATTTAAAAACACGTTAAAAGGAGTATTTTCATCTCAACGTGTACAATCTATTAATATTAAATATTCTGTATGTACCCGCGTTGAGCTTTGTTTAATTAAAAGGCATAAAAAGGAATGCTTTTCGTGTTATGTCCCAAGCATATTTTCACGCAACAATGATTGTCCAACAAGCTTATCTTTACTAATGAGCAATGGATAAGATAAGATGCAGTGTGGTAAGATAACAGATGAAGTATGAGAAATAGTATTAACCCTTCGCGGTCCCAATTATTTCTTGAAAATGAATAAGAATGAACGATTTCATCCTCAGTTTAATTTAACATAGTTTAATATGTACCACTTAACTTATATTACTTAAAGGAATTTATGGATGTTATAAAAATATAGTTTGCAAATTGTAATGGTGCGTTGTAATTTGAACATTTGGAAAACTGTTTCCAGAAATCGCCGTAAAGCATATGTCAAACTAAAATACTGACTATGGAATTATCGACCATGGAATTACAAAGGGTTAAACTAATAAAAAACAACTAATAAAAAAGGAAAAATTGAAGAAAGGAAAAGATAGTGTAATAAAAAAAAAAACAGTGTTGCGATGATTGAAAATATAACATTTGTTATGTATCAAGCAAATTTGAGCGTCATATATGCAGTTATGCAAAATATTGTAAAAAAAACAATAGTATTTTTTAAAGTCATATGTTTTGAAAAATATTCGATCACACATTTGAATCATTCTAGCCATATCAAAATGCAAAGCAAATATCATCTATTTTAACCTGCAATCGCATTCCAGACAGTTTCAATATTGTTAATAATGTAGAAATATTTCACATAACAATACATCTAACAAAATTACGCGCTTAATTAGAACAGCGCTTAATAGTAATAAATAATTATTTCGAAAATACATACGAATTAATGAACAAGTCATAATAACAGTCGATGATCTATTAATGATTGATCTCGTTCTCTAACGAAGATGCGTAATGATCGTTGTTGAGCAACGATCAGATAAACAATCTCAAATGAAGACTATGATGATGCGTATAAAGTTTTAAGCGATAACAATATCTTTACCAATACGCTCTAATAGTTAAATAACGCGCGAAAATAGTTATAGAAAAGCAATGTATAATCAACATATTACGATGAAAGCGATTCGGTGTTCTTGCCAAATTACATGTATTAATGACTCTGAAAGAATTCTAGATTAAGTACATATTGTAAAATCGAAACGTGGTGATTTTATAAAAGGCGATTCAGTATTTGCCTTTATAAAATCATTGCGATGATTTTACAAAAGAAATATTTAGAAAATTGCTTATGTTTTGAAATATTTTTAATTGCTTATGTTCAACTAGTTTATCAGCTAGCGATTTTACATATATAATCGCTGCAGAAATTTCATAAAGTTATATTTTTAAGTTACGTATTCATCGTAATATCTATAAGGCAACAATCACGCTTCCGACACATGCATATACTCAAAGATCGGTTACCGGTCCGGATAAATTTACACTATCTATCACGAGTGTAATTTTGGAATCGCTCGCGATTGACGAGTTCTTTTCACTTTTGGACGTATCTGGCTTTTCGTCATCATCGTCGTTGTCGTTGCCACCCTCCGCTTCGTCTTCAGACGATGACGATGATAACGGCATCTGATTCATTGGTTCCTTAGCCTGGTCTTCAGGAACGGGACACACGCCGGAAGCCAGGACGTCGCAAATCCTGTTTACCGTTTCCGTGGCCATGGCACCGTTCACCTTTTTATGTAGTATCTTCACCAGCTTCTCCAGTCTGACAAATTACGTTTCGTGTCACGTTACATTCATTCGTGCCGACTTGGGAACGTGCCGTTTTTCCACCGCTAATGCATCCAAACATTTGCTAATACATCCAAAGATTTGCCCAACAAATTCTTTAGCAGAGAGTAAAGCGAAAGTTTCAGCGGAAAGCCATGCTGCCGACTAGAAAACAGAAGAAAACGATGCGATTCGATGCTTGCTGTCAAGACGTGCACTAGGTCATTCCGAGAGAGAAAAAAAAATTAACAGATCTTTGAGGAGCAAAAAAGTCATGCAAGCAAGATATACATTCGTGCTACAGTTCGTATGGAA